GCTTAATTGGGGGGGGGGGTTGACTCTAGTATACACTGAGATGTGCTCATACAGGGTCCTCCTGCCAGGCCCACAAACACAGGCAGATGCCACCCCCACCCACCCCCAAGTGATTTTACAGACAAGTTTTCTCTCAAGCTACGGGGCACAAGTACACAGCTCAGGGACCCACTGCTGGAGGCCACTCTGAGATTGCTCCGCGATTTTTCTAAGATTGGAAAAAAGGAGGAATAACCGGTAAAATCGCTTCGATTTCATCCTGGGGCTGTCCAGAAGCACTCATCCGTTTCCCACTATGTGATCCCAAACTTCTCCGGAAACTCTGCGAAGAATGTGAATAGCCATTATTCCCCTCCGGTCTCACCAAGTGCCCTTTGCCCAGTGGCAACCTCTGGTTAGCCGCAGAGAATCCAAGAAATCTGAAATGAGAGAGGGGTTAGGAAGCTTGGGGTCACTTAGTGCTCGCAAACTCCCATCATTACAGGCTTCTAGTGCCCTCCTCTGCTTTATGTGGGGAGAAAGAGATTTGATTTCCCCTCTCCTGTAGTCTTCCCTTTTGTCCTGAGCCGCATATGGAAGTAGAACTTAAAAGGTAATCTTTTTGTTATGGGGGGCGGGGAAGGAGAAGGTGGATTCCAACAGCCCTTTGGAAAATGCCATTATCTTTTAATTCCATTGTGCCACGAACTTCTTGAAGCCCGGAGACATAGCCCAGCCCCTGGCCCTCTCTTACGTGCTCAGAAGGGCTAGGAAGCCATCCTTAATCCTAAACCTTGGGAAAGGAGCAAGAGAGTATTTGGAGAAAGGGCTACTGTCCACAATAGGCAGTTTCCCCCTGCCCCCAGTTCTCTCACCCACGCACCTGCTTCCTGCTAGCTCACCTCCCAGACACCTTGATGGGAGAATCTCTCCTGTTGAAAGAAATTACCTAATTCCCGGACACACACCCAACTTCTTTGCCCACGTACGTGCACACGCCAGCCCTAGGCTCACTGGCAGTCCTCTGAACTCCGCGCGCACAAGCCTACGCCAATGTTCGTCACCCTCAGCCCTCACACAGCTCCTTCCCAGTCTTGCTCCCCCGCTCACGTGGAGTTCTCAATCGAGTGCTCATTTTCAGGAGGGATAGGAGGGTGCCGGCCAGGGTGGGGGTCTCGGAGCTCGGGGAACTTGCAAGATGCGCAGTGTGGCTTCTGGCAGCGCAGGCCCGGCCTAGGGGGTGAGGGGCAAGCCTGAGCAAAGCGCCGCCTAATCTAGCCCGAGCTCGTGGGCCGCGGGTGCATTTATCATCCCATTACTGTAACAAATCCGGGCTCCGCTACATGAAAGGTAAAATGAATTACCGACGTTAAGCCGTCAATAAAGTCATTTCTGTAAATGGTGTCTCCAAAGGGCCGCGGCATTATTCAGCTGGCTTTATCAGCTGGCTGGAAATTACGTGGAGGAGCCCGGCCGCGCGGCGCGCGGGGCCGCTCACTTTGATTAAGCGTCTTGCCAGCGCGATGTGACAGAGCTTTTGACCAGGGTTTTATTCACAGGCCTGTGATGAACGCCAAGCTGATCAGGCGGAATGAAGAGTAATTAAAACCTATAAATTATCTTCCGCAGCCCTTCTCGAAGCGTCTCCTGCAAGCGAGATAAGGCGTCGAGACCCTATTTACGGCGCTGAAAGGGACCTCGGCGCACAAAAGCTACGCGGCTAAATAGGATATTGATAGTGTCCTAATTAGAATTTAATTAAGTACCCACGCTCGCTTGCGGGATAAAGATTTCAATTTTGCGAACTTAAATAAAAATAAAATCCCACCCCTGTTTCAGGGATTAGGGGTGGGGGCGCCGGGAGATTTCGGGGACCCCTTGGGCATGGAGCTGAAAGGAACCCGAAATAGGCCATGTTGGGGTTGGGGGTCGCTGGGAGGGACTGAAGAGACCTGGCGGGCCTCCAGGCCAACTCGTAGGTCTAGCCAGAAGGACACCCCAAACCAGAAAACCCAGCCCACTACCGTCAAATTCAGACTCGGAGGGGCCCTGCCCTACAGGGTTGCCTGGGCTGTAAGAGCATCTTTTCTTATCTCTTTTTAAACAAAAGCATATCATTCTCCAGGGGAGTGGGGCTAGTGGTTCAATATGCCAACATTTGAGTGAACAGCCCAGTGCTGAACCACCGTGCACCCGGGCTCCCTGAAGCGGGCCTAAGCAATAGCCTCCCAACCCCAAATCATTTCAGAATCTGCAAACACAGCCTTGGCTTGCACTGTTGAGGTTTTGGGGGTTTTTTCCCCCCTCGTAATCTGCCGTGATTTTTCTAGTAAGCTGGGTAGGGATATTTTGCATGTCCCAGCTCGGCAACAGTCTCCAAGAGATTCTTCTTCTTCCCCTCCTGTTGGGGACGGCTGTCAGGAGCTGCAGGACCTCGGGATCTGCAAAAGGGGCGTCCTGGGAAGGCCTAGACTGCGGACTGAAGGCTGTTTTCTTTCCTCTGGGCACAGCATGCTTCAGAGGGTCCTCTGGAGTACCCAGCGCCTCTCCTGCATCCCTGGCCCTGGGAGATTTTTTTTTTTTTTGCGGGCGGGGTGGGGGGTGGGGGGGGGAGGTGTTTCGATCAGAAAAGAAAAAGGAGAAAAAGAACTAGGCGGACGCGAGTCTCCTGTCTGTCCTCAAACTCAGGAAGAACGCACAGGGCTTAATTAAGCTGGAGGCTCCCAGGAAGTCTCCTGTTATTTCAGGAAAATTAGCCTTTAAGGAGGGGAAACTCGCTATTCAAATCGTCAGCGAGCCAGGGCAAATCCTTGGGGAGACGGGCTTTTGTTTTGTTTTACTTTGCAGGTAAACCCAACACAACCCCCCCCCCCAACCCGGGCCTTAATGGCATCGTCAGCATGACTCTCCTGGCCCTGGTGCCCTTCTCGGCCAACTCTGCCAAGCAGGCTGGGCAGCCCAGACTTCGGCCGCCAGGGAAAGCTCAGGCACCCCGAGCTGAAGCTCTCCTGCGTCCTCTGCTCTTAGCTCTGTGGCATCGGGGCAGCACCCGGGGGTGGTTCTGCAGGGAAACGCAGGGAAACGGATTCCGCAGGAATGACCGACAAACAAGCGCTGCGGGCCAGGCTCACAGGCTGGGTTGTTGTACAAAAATAACCGGCGCCTCCGAAAGAACCAACTCTAGATCGGTTTCACATCGCCCATCTCTTTGCTTCATTTCCCCAACACACATACACACTCGGTGACATCAGTCTCTCTCTCTCTTCAACAAAAGGCGAACCAAAAGGGAAAATGAAAGGCTGAGTTCTTAGATGTCGGGGTGCAAAGAGCTGAGGTCCCCTGCGTTCTGTCACTGAGCCCAGAGCGAACGCACCCAAGGGCCTGCATTGGCCAACAAGTTGTTTATGGAGTTGCTTCTCTATTTGCCTAACCCCCACTCCACCCCTCCCGTCGGCTCCTCCGGGGCTCGGCCGCTGTGTCCCGACCGGAGGGGGGGAGGGGCGCGGGCGGGGGAGAACCGGCCGGACGCGCCGGGCCCGCGCCCCCAGCCCCCTCTCCGCCGCGGCCGCCACCCCCGGATTATTTATCCGCAAAGTCCCGCGCGCGCCCATTGGCCCTCAGCCCGGGTGTCAGCGCGAATCCGGCCTTGTCATTGGCCCCGCACACGTGCGGCCCTGACTCACGTGCTTCCGGTTTGAAGGCAAAAAGTGTGCCTGGGTGATTTTTTTTTTTCCAGCGAGAGTTTGAGCAAAGATCGGAGCTGTCAGAGATTTGAGAGAAAAAAATAAAAAGGCAGCCCGGTGCTGGCGGAGACGCGCTCGCTCTGCAAAAAAAGCAAAGGCGATTAAATGCGCTGCCAGCCTCGCGCTCTGGGCACAGCTGAGCGTGACACTCGGGGCAGTCAAACCCTTCACTCCTGCCTTGAAAGCCTAGGCTAGACTTTAAAGATTATTTTTTTCCCTTTAAGAAAAAAAAATTACCGGAGCTTTTTTTTTAAATCTCTTTTTCCTTTTCTTGCTTTCTTTTGAGCTGTGGCTCACTCCCCATTGATCACAAACCATTGACTCGGGTGGCAGAACGCGAAAAGAAATTGCCAAGAGTCTCCCTATCTGGATGTCTACAAATTAGAGCGAGGGCGAGGCGGCGAGATCCAGCCGCTCGATAAGAGCAAGCGATCCAGGCCCGGCGCCGGGGCTTTTGGCCGGCACCCGCCCCGCGCCTTCGCC